AAAGAAAGAAAGAAAGAAAGAAAGAAAGAAAGAAAGAAAGAAAGAAATTCTTTCCCTGCCTTGAACAGCTCAGTATTTATAACAAATTGGTGCATGTCAGCACTGAGAAAAGTTGCTTTTCACTGAAACTTCTACTGAAACAGTAGAAAAAAATCAGATGATCACAGTTTGCCATCACTCTGTGTCTTTGTTAGCACCAAAATAAAGGGTTAAATGTCAATGAGGAAACACATCTGGAAACTTCCCTTTTTCACCATGTCAGGCTTTTGGTCTGATTTTAGACACTACAAAACAAGCATTCCACAAATTCAGAAGCATTTAAAGGATTTAAGCGATATTCTAAAGGTTTGGAACAAAAAAAGTAGCACTCAGTTGTCTTTTTGCATGCTTCTTGGCGTTTCATATAGTGCAATATTTAAACGAACTGTAATCTCTACTGGACTGTCTGAATATACTGTCAGAAGACTAATCCAATTAGCAAAAATTCTTGGCACTCAAGTTTTTTACAAACCTCTCAGAATATATTTTTTCTGCAATGGATAAGAAGCCTTTATCTCTGGTGAATTGTTTCTTAAAAACTATTCCAGGCCTTCGATTTTTCAATTTTTATTCAATCTATGGCTAAACATGGATTTAGCCCTAAAACTGTCTCAATCCCCCTAAATACATGAGACAAAATTCAACTTTCTACACGACGGAAAGAAGTGGAAACCTTTGGTCACTGTGTATGTAACCAAACACAACTTACTACCACAAACACATCCTAGCAACTGCCAGACACAGGGATGGAAAGATGAAGGCATGCAACCTGACAAATTCCACAGTCATCAGGTAACATATTAATTCCTTTCTTTACCAGATTACTTAGAATTATTGCAACTCCATTCTTTTCTACAAGCTATCAAAACCTAATTGGCACTTATTCATCAATGCACTGCCTCTTCATTTGGTTGGGAGTATTTATTTCATGATTGACGACAACGGTGAAGTATCTCATTTTGGTGTTCACCTGAGCACGTAATTAAAATGTTCCGATTTAAAAGACATTATTTAAAATTATATACAGTGCACTTTATTTTTCACAGGACCTGGAAAGATTTATTAGAAAGCAGTAACAGGAAGAAAAGTTCATTACAAAATCATGACATTTTACATACACTGCAGATAATTGGAATTTACATTATGTAAATGCTTATAAGGTTTTATTTATTTTTAAATGTTCCAAAAAATAAGATTAGTTTTCCATTGCATCAGTGTAAAATCAGCATGCTGGCATCCCTCATTCTGTGATGTGTTCTTGAAAGTATAACAAAATCTATACATGGCATGGAATTTTTTTTTCTTCTGTATTTTCCAAATACGAGGAAACTTGTTTTGAAAAATACATAAGTGCAACATTGTGGTATATATTTCCCTCAAAATATGCTGCAACATAGAGTTTAGTCCCAGATATTTTTAGAACCACTTACTTTCTTGGTATTTGCTGACACATTGCTGTCATCTAGTGGATAGATGTGAAAAATGTCAGCCCAAATACTATAACTTCTTTGACTGCTCATTGTTTCTTTTTTATTAATCCAAATTTATAAATGTATCATTTATTCATTAATGTTTTTTCAAACTTTAAGGAAACTACAAAAGTATGATGGCCAGCTTTGTTAGAAAATGATGATTTATGTGTCTGATAAACTCATTTGTTTTAGTAAAAAAAAAAAGGTGCAGTCACATATTAATAGACACAAATTTATATTGTGTTGCATACTTTTCTGGTTAATTCTCTTTCTGTTTTTCCATAAGGATATCTCTTCTTTCCCGTGTGGTTTCTTTGCCTTTACCTTTCCTCCTGCCAGGTTTGGAATTATTTAATAAATCAAAATATTGTAACAAAGATGAATAAATGAAAACGTATTGAATAATCAAGGTAGGCTTTTCATCGGTAAAGCCACCCTTGGCAAAGCAAATGTGTTTGACATAATGCTGTATTCAGAAAACAATTCTGCTAATGCTTAATATACCAAGGTAAAAAGAAACCTACACAGCACTTCTGTAAATTTAAAAAAATATCCTTTTTACGGATCAGTATAGTTGTTTTCATGTTCTGATCAACCATAGTTTTATCCACAAATCCTGACATTTTTACCGTCATAGACTTATGTACCTTTGTCTTCCCAGATAAAAACTAATGTGAGTCACTTGAAATTTCTTCTCTCATGTTCTGATAATCAAGAGTAAAAATCTTCAAACCATCGGCTGATTCCCGTAATTCTCCACAGTGTCCTGCATTAATATTTATGCCATAACATTCCTTTGCACATATTGCTGTCAACTTTCCGAATAGCTTTTTAACCACAAGTATGCCACAATATGCTTCTTCTAACTTTTTAGTTTATTATTGAAGTGAAGGACCATTGTTTAAAAAAATCTCTCTCTCAATGCCCATGCAGCATGTTGGGTACATTTTTAAACATTCAATCACAAAACCAGTTTATAACTTGTATTTATTGAATTTATTGTAAAACCAAGACATAAAAGTTTAGACATTAGAGTAATAATACTATTTTTGAATGTTAATACAGTTACTCTTCAAACTCTCATCCACACAGTGCCAGCTAGTACTGCTTCGGAATTTCAGTTTACGATTTTATTTTTACAATTACAAAAAAGTGTGTAACTGCTTGAGAAAGAATACCATCAGAGCTAAGGCAATAATATTTTTGAAACAATGTCAGAATTAATACAACATAGTCAAATTATTATCAATATTAAGATATCTAACTTTCTAATGGATACACCAAGTGGTACATTGTGTAATTCAAACATTTCAACAGATGGGGGCACTGTTGCTCAGCTCTGACACAACCAACCTCACCTTCACATTAGATCTTTGTTAGTACTGAAGGGCTGTAAATTATAACACTATAGTGTTCATGCAGCTGTGAGTAAAGAGGCATAACACATTCAGACAGTCAAAGGAAGAGCAAGTGGATGATACACTTTTATTATCCCAAAACAATACATGATAACAATAATAAGACATACTCATATATATCATACTGAATGGCATATGTTATGAAACAACAAGGTTGGTTCTCATCTGTATTTCTCGGCGAGCACGGCTGCGAAAGCCGAAAGGAATTTGTCCATCGCGGCGTGTGCAACCGGGGTGAAGTCTTCGCCCAAGTAACAGGCCAGAGTGACAAGCATACAGTGTGAGAGCAGCTGCAGGGGAAGAAATTTTCTGTTAGCAGAGTCAGTATGTTCAGCCAAAACCATGAGACACTGAGGTAATTGGTGTCAAAGGACAGGATGGACTGGAATGCATTTCTAATTAAACACATTTGTGTTTTTCTTGCGTTTTACAAAAAACACAAGCAAGGGATCAGTCTGGGACTGAGTAAAACAATTGTGATGGACCATCGACAGGTCAAGAGTCCATCACAGGGTCACACAGAGACAAACAACAGCACACTCTCACATTCACCTTAGGGAAATTTCCTATAGCAAATGACCAAACATGCATGTTTTTGATGGTTGGATGAAGCAAGAGTATCTAGAGAGAACCCAGGCAGACACAGGGAGAATATGCAAAGTCCACACAGAAAGGTCCTGGTTCCCCCGGGAACTTGAGCCTGAAGCCTCATGCTTTGTTAAACTACTAAATTCATTCTACCTTTTGTTCTCTTTGCTTTACAAAGACTCGTCTTTCATACCCAATCACGCTGAGCAAGCAAATAGTTGTTTTTCTAGCCCTTTCTTAGGACTGTCACAACTTTTTTAAAATCACAATCAAATGGAGGAATATCTCTAAAAAAGCCGTGGCAATTCTTATTTTTGACACATGCGTTGCCGTTTTTGTACTATTCCTGACTAACTATAGGATTTAAATGACCTGAAGATCATTTGATTTGGGTTTATTGAATCATTTCAATGAATCCCTTTGGTATTTTTGGAAGCAGGGTTGTAACATTGAGTCGTTCTGTTTTTGGCTGAAGGGTCCCTTTCTGGAAGGAAACTCGAATAAAGTTGTGTCTTGTGGCTTGTCATGAAGTACGTCAGAGTAGTTGGTGTCCAAAACTATAGTAAACAGCAGTTACTTAAAATAATTTGAAGGTTTCTTGATAGTCTAGCTAAAGTTAACAACTGGCCACAAAGTAACAGCTAGAGAAAGGCAATTAGCTTCTTTGGCCATCTAAAATATATCAATCCTTCAAATTTAAGGCAGGTCTGAGAAAAAGCTAGATTTTAAATATTTACACCGAGTCACATTTGCATTTGAAGATTTCAGTTGGTACAATAATAGATCCAGGGCGAGTTTTTACAATTGAAAGGTGGTCGTGTACAATATCAAAGACGACCAGAATTGCAATATCTCTTATGGTTTTAAAGTTATCAATAAAGCAAATTGACTTCAACACCAGGGACAGCACACTGAACACGCCAGGTGACTTTCCTCCTGGAGTAATCAGATCAGTAATTTTCCCTTTCGTTTCTGAAGTAAAAGGGTACCTTGTGACTTTTTACTCACTCTGCAGATATATTCCTGTATGTTTCCAAAACAAATAATACATCTTATTCGATCATGTCCAGCAGATGCTGCACAAACGCTGTCATTGGGGAGGCTCATCTGAGCTGTGGATAGGTGCCCTTAATGAACTCACCTTGAAGTTGGTCGGGTCTATCCGGAGCTGGTAGGCATGTAGAGTCTGCAACGGAGCCAGGGTGACGGTCAGCTGGCTGATGTCTTTGGCTCCTTCTGCTATGGCCAGTACAATCTTCTTCCCATGAGAGAACAGGTGGGAGGAGCCAGGACTGATGTCTAGGTGGGAAAAGTATGTCTTGGTACCTGGATAAGAAGCAAACATCCTGGAGATGGTGGAGATGACATGTGATTTTTATTGTGTTTTGTTTTTTCTTCAAATATTTATCCTGTGATTAACATATGTGACTGAGACACCAGAGGCATTACAGTCACTGACTTTGGCTACTTTAGTTGCTGTCATCGTCCTTATTCTCAGCTTCCTAACAGTCACTCATCATTTTCAGCTTTCAATAAATTGTCAGGAATCCATTTCCATTTCAGTGCATTTCAGTTTATATGAAAGACTTTCAGTATAAACTCTTTCACTGTTTATATGTAAATAGTTTCCTGATGCAAACCGAGTAGTCTTTGTGACACATTGGGACATCAAACAAGAAACAATGACTGTTCAGAGATAAACATTTTAGTTGGTCTGCACGCAAATTGATCCCCACACACAGCTTTTTCTCAAAATCATCATCACTACAGGTTAGCCTTTATCAATCACTCTTGGCAGATACCCTGTAGGGACACATTTTCGGTATATATTTTATGCTTTATAACAACAACCTACCTAAGAAGTGCCTCGGCCCCAATGTTTTCGGCCACAGGAGTCAGCCTTTCCCATATTTGCTTAATTAGCTGCTTCTCCTTCTTTGACAGCATTGCGGTCTACTTCATTTAACAACAGGCAGATTCACAAGAACAGGCCTGACTGTAGACGAATATCCAGAGCTTGATTAGATGTCTTCACAGGCGGCAGAGGTGTACCCTAATCAACCATTTTATCGTTGCATGAAAATGCCATTTCCTGAAATGCAAATAAAAGCAAATAAAACAGATGGAGCAGTAACTCCTTCCTTCTGTGAGTAAAAAAAGACGTAATGTGCAGGTTTCTGCAGAGGAGATGTTTCCCTCCCTCTGTGTTATCAGGCAGCAGTCAGAGCAGGGTGGGGGCTCCATGCTATCAGGTGCTTCAAGTGCGTCATATTCAGGAAATAGCACGTGATTAATGTGGCTGACTTTAAGACGAAGCTAATGTAGGGTTTTCCAAGTGATGACTCTTTGATTGCCTTTGGATTTGTTCTTCTTTTGTATAGTTATATGGCTTTTCTGGCAGAAAGTAGGTGCTGTGAGATATCTTATTCCTGGTCTATAATTCCATAACATTTACACAAAGTAACAATTTTCTTACTTTTGTATAGTTTTCACGCCATATACCTGCTAAATCATTTCACAAATGCTTTGAAATGTTTCACTCTGAACAACATTAAAGTAAAACAAACAGTCATAAGATGTGGTTAGAGGTGTCATATTGTGTTGAAGGTATTTAGTGACATTCAGAAGCCACGTCTGCATACATACGCTATTGCTGCTATCTGCAGCCCCATAAGATGCGGTCAGGCAGTGTGTGGCAACTGATAACATTGTGAGGACCGTGACACCGCACCACCCAGATGACTCCGCAACTATTGTACACACAGAGATGATACAAATAATGCACCTGGCATGCAGAGAGAGAGAGGTTGTTGTCATAATTATGAATTAGATAGATCAAAACCATGCATTTTCTGAAGAGCGTCATGGTTTAAGATGAACAAAAACCCATGGACTTTAAGGGAGATGTACTTTAAATATATTGTTTTCAAAAACAATATATTTAATATAAACTAAATCAACTCAACTGTGATGAGTAGCATGGGCCCCAAATAAAATAGTGAACACAATACCCAAACCATGACCAAACAGTACACTCAAAACCAAGAAGAACCAACCTTTTTTTTGGTAAAACACGAGAAAAAAAAAGATCTGCAAAAAGGAATATACACAACATAAGTTAACACAGCTAAAGGAGAAAGAATGTTTGTTCTATGAATTTGTAGCTGCTCTGTTTTCCCATTTTTTCATTATGTTTTCACTTTTAATTTTGTTTTGTTTTCCTGTTACCTTTTTTTAATGGTTATGCTTTCTTTTTTTCTTTTGGCTGTGGCTACAGAGTTTAGGGCGTTGGAGAATGAAGGGGCAAATGACAACGATCATAATGACCTTATGTGAACCCTCCCCCAGTCGTACACGTGACACTACAAGGAGAGGTTACATTTCATGGTAATCGGGTTATTTGATGCTGTTACAGTTTTTCTTGATTGTTTACACACAAATATTGGTACTTGAAACACAATGACCACAAAATGTAACTCATGCACCAACCCCCTGAACCAATTCTGCTAAACTACAAGCACAATTCCTGCTTTACACTCAAATTGCAGTTCTAAAACACACTTTTTCCAAAACTCTACACACAATTGTCATGAAGAAAATCTTTTGTTTTCACAAGGAACACACTGTTATTCAAAACTCTAAAGTTAATTTCCCTACTATGCACACTGACTCCTCACATGGGCAAACACCTAACACACATGTTTCCACACAGCAGTCAGAGCTTTAGCATAAAAGGGCAACAGGTGAGCTCTTCTGTTTTGGAGCAATGGAGGTTGTAAACAGAGGCAGAGCCAGAGCCAGAGGAGTGAGAGTAAGAGGAGGACGATGGGGAGGACCAGGACGAGGAAGGCCAAGGACAATAATTTCTGATGAGATCCGAGCCACTTTGGTTGACCATGTGGTCAACCATGGCCTAACAATGAGGGAGGCTGGGCAAAGAGTACAGCCAAATTTGAGCAGGTACACTGTAGCATCCATCATCCGGACTTTCCGCAATGAGAATAGGTAAGAAATCTGCTCTCACTACAAAACTGCAGTACTGCATATCAATACAGTACTCAATGAGTACAGTAGTACAGTATTACCTGTGGACTGTTCTGTAGGACATTGTGTTTCGAGTATTTGGGAAATGTATTCCTACACAGTATTTACAGTATTGCACTCTTTGTATTGCAGAACTGAAAGATTACCAACAAGAGGTGGACGGGGCCGTCTTTTGTCTCCTGAACAGGAAACAGAGATCATGAACATGGTTCTTGAAAATAACGCCATTACCTTACGGCAAATACAAAGAAAAACAATAGAAAACAATGAGATATTTCAAAATATTGATAGGGTAAGTTTATCAACGCTGGACCGTGTCTTGCACAGAAATAAACTGAGGATGAAGCAGGTCTACAGGGTGCCATTTGAGCGCAATTCAGAAAGAGTCAAAGAATTGCGATATAACTATGTGCAAGTACGTCCTATACATTCCCACCCTTGATGCATACTGTCAACATTGTATAAATCATACATATTTCTTTCTATTATATTGTAATCATAATGATTGTGCTTCACAATAGTGACCGCCCCACGTCTACTTCTGATATTGTCATGTGTGTTTCAGAGAGTCCTTGAGCTGGAGGTGGATGCAGTGGAGCACCAGTTCGGTTGGGATGTACACTGTGTAAAAAAACATGTTTGTTACAGTATATTTGTGTGTTCTGAGTATAAAAACAATATTCTAAAATATTTTACAACGCACTTATGTATTTAATGTCTGTAGTAAGTGTAACACTGAACAAAAAGTCATTATGATGAATGGAGAATGGTGTTTTACACTGAGCACATCAGTGTTTAAATGCTTTTTTTAATTGTCTGTTCATATGATAGTTTGTGTGTGTCATCTGAACACAAAATGGCCTTTTGTGAAGAGATAAAACTGTTTTGAATGTAAAGTTTCATTTTGCAGGAGAATTGAAGGGTTTTGCCCATTGTGTGTGTGTTTGTTGGATTTGTGTGTAGAGTTCTGAGAATACGAGGCATGTTTTCAGAAAATGTGTGTAAACAATCCAGAAAAACTGTAATTCTCACAGTTATATGATGGATCATTTGATGTTCAAACTAACTGCATAATTTAACCCAAGAAGGATGCTTATTTTACCAGCTGTGGTTTATTTAGGAGTAAAACATCACTTTTATTTATTTTTCTTTAACCTTGTCCTGTTATGGCAGCAGAACTGAAATCTATGCTGAACAAAATTGCTTTGCCAAGGGAGGCTTTGTTAGTGAGAGGCCCCCCTTGATTACCCAAAATTATTTTATTTATTCAATAATGTGTCCAATAATGCCGAACCTGACAGAGGGACAGGGAAGAAAGAAGAGCAGTGGAAAGGAGAGAGATCCTTTAGACAGAAAGAGAAAGGGGGAAAAAACAAAGAAAGACAACTAGACCACACCACCAGCTGATATGTCTGTAAAAAGGACACTTTTCTTTGTGGGCAATCCGGGTGGAGAACCTATAGGAGCTCCTGTAAAAGGACACAGGGAAGACAAAAGAACAAACAAGCAACAACACTGGTAGCAGAAACATTAGTGAGCTTGTCAGAATTGTGCAGCAACTGTACAGAAACTTAAGGAGGCGTGTGTCTGGGTATCTGACTGTGTGTGTGTGTGTGTGTGTGTGTGTGTGTGTGTGTGTGTGTTTGGCAAATAATGAGGTTTCAGGTTTCCCAGATTGTGTTCAGTTATGGTGCAGAGGGGCCACCAGCTGAAGCCCCCCCCCCTTCAGCACTCAGAAGAGGGCAGAGAGTTCCCCCAGACCCGGTCCCCCAGCAGCCACCCAAGCACATCACTCTGCAAGTTACTCTCTCATAAGAACTGTGCCTGACAGATTGCACCACTAGTGCTCACTAGGTTGAGGCTTGCTCTTGATTGACTGGATTTAACTGAAAATTCATGAAAGAAACTCATTCTCAGCCCCAAACTATTGATGAATATGACAGAAGTCTGGTGCAGAGGAGCTATTTTTATTCTGTGACACTTAAAAGTCTTTATGCATTTTGGCAGTAATGCAGTAAAAGCCTGACACATCAGAAAGAACTCAAATATACAGGGTTGGACAATGAAACTGAAACACCTGGTTTTGGACCACAATACTTTATTAGTATGGTGTAGGTCCTCCTTTTGCGGCCAATACAGCGTCAATTTGTCTTGGGAATGACATATACAAGTCCCGCGGTCAGAGAGATTTTAAACCATTCTTCTTGCAGGATAGTGGCCAGGTCACGACGTGATGCTGGAGGAGGAAAATGTTTCCTGACTCGCTCCTCCAAAACACTCCAAAGTGGCTCAATAATATTGAGATCTGGTGACTCTGCAGGCCATGGGAGATGTTCAACATCACTTTCATGTTCATCAAACTAATCTTTCACCAGTCTTGTTGTGTGTATTGGTGCATTGTCATCCTGATACACGGCACCTCCTTCAGGATACAATGTTTGAACCATTGGATGCACATGGTCCTCCAGAATGGTCCGGTAGTCCTTGGCAGTGACGCGCCCATCTAGCACAAGTATGGGGCCAAGGGAATGCCATGATATGGCAGCCCAAACCATCACTGATCCACCCCCATGCTTCACTCTGGGCATGCAACAGTCTGGGTGGTACAGTTCTTTGGGGCTTCTCCACACTGTAACTCTCCCGGATGTGGGGAAAACAGTAAAGGCGGACTCATCAGAGAACAATACATGTTTCACATTGTCCACATCCCAAGATTTGCGCCCCTTGCACCATTGAAGCCGACGTTTGGCATTGGCACGAGTGACCAAAGGTTTGGCTATATTGACCCAGTGGAGCTCCCGACGGACAGTTTTGGTGGAAACAGGAGAGTTGAGGTGCACATTTAATATTGACGTGATTTGGGCAGCCGTGGTTTCATGTTTTTGGGATACAATCCGGGTTAGCACCCGAACATCCCTTTCAGACAGCTTCCTCTTGCGTCCACAGTTAATCCTGTTGGATGTGGTTCGTCCTTCTTGGTGGTATGCTGACATTATCCTGGATACCGTGGCTCTTGATACATCACAAAGACTTGCTGTCTTGGTCACAGATACGCCTGCAAGACGTGCACCAACAATTGGTCCTCTTTTGAACTCTGGTATGTCACCCATAATGCTGTGTGCATTGCAATATTTTGAGCAAAACTGTGCTCTTACCATGCTAATTGGA